CACTCTTGTTGCCCAGGCTGGAGTGCAATGGCTCGATCTCGGTTCACCACAACCTCCGCTTCCTGGGTTCAAGTGATTCTCCTGCCTCAGCCTCCCAAGTAGCTGGGATTACAGGCATGTACCACCATGCTGAGCTAATTTCGTATTTTCAGTAGAGATGGGGTTTCTCCATGTTGGTTAGGGTGGTCTTGAACTCCCGGCCTCAGGTGATCCACCCCCCTCGACCTCCCAAAGTGCTGAGATTACAGGCGTGAGCCACCACGCTGGCCCAAGAAGTGAAAGATTGGACTTCCCTGGGAGAAGTGCTTATTGAGCGGCGCTCCAGGCCCACCGCTGCGCATTCTCGGGTATTTTACTGCATCTTTCCTGCTCAGGTATCCAAGTCTTCTTCCAGGCTGGGCTTGGCTGGGCCAGCTTCCCTGCTCTGGGTGGGTCCAGGCCTGCTCACTGCATCCCTCATCCTCCCTCCACAGCCACCTGAGGCCTGTTCTTCTCACAATGGAGGGCAGGCACTCACCGGGCAAGGCGCAGCTGTGCCAGCACACTCCAAGCCACTGCTCATGTCACGATGGTCAAGGCAGGTCACCACGTGGCCAAACAGTGACACTGGGGGTGGGGACAGCTCCTCCTATGGAGGTCAAGGGAAAGGGACTGGAGGTCTGCTGAGCCATCATCACACCTGAAGGAGAGGGGTCTCTTTCCAGACTGCACCCGTGTGAATTACGAGCAAATACTGGTCTCCTGGTGCAGGGGCCTTGTGTCTCTGCTTCCATGTCCCCTGCACCTGGACTGGGGCTTGACCTGTCAGAAAAGCTCTGTAAATATTTGTTGAATGAGTGAAAAAAAGGATAACAAAGCCAGGCACGGTGGCTCACGCCTGTAATCCCAGCACTTTGGGACGTCGAGGTGGGCAGATCACGAGGTCAGGAGTTTGAGACCAGCCTGACCAACCTGGTGAAACCCCGTCTCTACTAAAAATACAAAGGTGCGCCAGGTGTGGTGGCGTGCTTTTTTAATCCCAGCGACTCGGAGGCTGAGGCAGGAGAATCACTTGAATCCAGGAGGTGGAGGTTGCAGTGAGACAAGATCGTGCCACTGCACTCCAGCCTGGGTGACAGAACGAGACTCTCTCAAAAAAAAAAGAGGGTAACATTTGTTTTAGCTCCCACCAGAGCCCTAGTTGAATTAGCACAGAACCCACCTTGCTGTGCACCAGGGTTGGCTGTGTACAGATGGGAAGCCTACTCAGCATTCAGGTAGCGTCACCTCCGTGGGGGTGGCGATAAGCACCATCCTTTTGTTGGGTGAGAGACACTGAGTTCAACACACGGGTTTCACTGTTGGTGGACCTGTCGGTGCAGCTCAGCAAACAGAACCTAAAAATACCTGGTCTTCCTGCATCCTGTATCTCTGTGAGCCAGGGAAGCCGGAGTTTCCTGCCTAATGAGTGCCTCCTCTGTGGCGGCCGTGGCTCTTCGGTTCTGCTCACACCCAGGTCTCTGCAGCCAGGTTAAATGCCCCCTGCCTGGCAGGGAGAACCGGAGGCAGCAGCCGTGGGAGGGTGGAGAGTGTGCTCATTCCTGATTCCTGTTGGATGGAAGGGAGACTTCTGCGGGCTCAGAGAGGATGTGTTTTTCCTTTTCTCTTTCTTTTTTTTTTTTTTTTTTTTTTTGAGATGGAGCTGCCTCCCAGCTACTCGGGGGCTGAGGCAGGAGAATCTCTTGAACCCAGGAGGCGGAGGTTTCAGTGAGCCAAGATCGCACCACTGCACTCCAGCCTGGGCCACAGAGTGAGACTCCATCGCAAAAAAAATAACACTTGACAACACCTGAACTTTGGGACACCCTACCTGAACGTCTGTATTTTCATCTTCTCTTGTTTGCCCAGGCTGGAGTGCAATAGCGCAATCTTGGCTCACTGCAACCTCCATCTCCTGGGTTCAAGCGATTCTCCTGCCTCAGCCTCCCAGGTAGCTGGGACTACAGGCATGCGTCATCACGCCCGGCTAATTTTATTATGTTTAGTAGAGACTGGGTTTCTCCATGTTGGTCAGGCTGGTCTCGAACTTTCAACCTCAGGTGATCCACCTGCCTTGGCCTCCCAAAGTGCTAGGATTACAGGTATGAGCCACCTCACCCAGCTATTTTTTTTTCTTGTTTTTGAGATGGAGTCTCACTCCGGTCACCCAGGCTGGAGTGCAACAGCGCAATCTCGGCTCACTGCAACCTCCACCTCCTGGGTTCAAGTGCTTCTCCTGCCCCAGCTCCCCGAGTAGCTGAGATCACAAGCAGGCACCACACTCCCGACCTCAGAGGGGCTCTTTAAAATGAACAATGGGAGCCCGGGGCTGCTTGTGTGGTTCTAAATTAAAGCAGATGCTGGGACGAAGGCCACACAAAGGCCCCTCGTGGCCACCACGTCCACACTCATCCATCATATGAGAGAGAACGGGACACATGTGCGGGATGCCGAAGGTGCTCAGTCAGTGCTTTTGGGTACTTATTTCTGTGTGTGGCCGTTGGGGCTGGGCATTGGGGCTGGGCTGTAAGGCGGGGCATCTTGCATCACCCGTGGGAAAGCGTTCCAGGCCGTCGCCGCGGCCAGCCAGCTTCTCCTCTCCACAAAGCTGCTATGATTCTACCCCCTCATTCTCCTTCCTGCAGATGAAGAAACCGACACTGGGGGAAAGGGGATAAATAATGTGCCCAGTAACTCCGAGAGGGAGCGGGGAGGGCGGGCACGCGGGGAGGGCGAGCGGGGAGAGCTGGGGTTTCGGCCCACAGATGTGTCTTCCCTGCTGCCCTATGTGTAAAGCTTAAAGCACCATTTGGCAAGGCCGGGCGCAGTGGCTCACAGCTGTCATCCCAGCACTTTGGGAGGCAGAGAGTGGACCACCTCAGGTCAGGAGTTTGTGACCAGCCTGGCCAACATGGTGAAACCCCTTCTCTACTAAAAATACAAAATTAGCTGGGCATGGTGGCGTGCACCTGTAATCCCAGCTATGCGAGAGGCTGAGGCAGGAGAATCTCTTGAACCCAGGAGGTGGAGGTTTCGGTGAGCCGAGATCGCACCACTGCACTCCAGCCTGGGCCACAGAGTGAGACTCCATCGAAATAAAAATAATACTTGACAACCCCTTAACTTTGGGACACCCTACCTGAACATCTGTATTTTCATCTTCTCTTTTTGTCTTGAAAAATCCATGCCGGGCACGGTGGCTCACACCTGCAATCCCGGCACTTTGTGAGGCCAAGGCGAGCGGATCACCTGAGGTCAGGAAATCGAGACCATCCTGGCTGACACGGTGAAACCCCGTCTCTACTAAAAATACAAAAATTAGCTGGGTGTGGTGGTGCGTGCCTGTGAGCCCAGCTACTCGGGAGGCTGAGGCAGGAGAATCGCTTCAATCTGGGAGGTGGAGGTTGCAGTGAGCTGAGATTACACCACTGTACTCCAGCCTGGGCCACAAGAGCGAAACTTCGTCTCAAAAAAAAAAAAGAACAAAACACAACAATTCACTAATCATTCAACTTGGGTGGGAGAATCATTTCCAACAAGCCTAGACATCTATTTTTTTTTTTTTTTCTGAGGTGGAGTCTCGCTCTGACACCCAGGGTGGAGTGCAGTGGCATAATCTCGGCTCATTGCAACCTCCACCTCCTAGATTCAAGCGATTCTCCTGCCTCAGCCTCCCGAATAGCTGGAACTACAGGCACGCGCCACCACACCTGGCAATTTCTTCCATTATTGTAGGGATGGGGTTTCAACATGTTGGCCAGGCTGGTCTTGAACTCCTGACCTCAGGTGATCCACCCGCCTCAGCCTCCCAAAGCGCTGGGATGACAGGCGTGAGCCGCCACATCTGGCCGGGGCTGTACATCTTCATCCTTGTTTCCTAGACTTCTGCTGGACACACCCTTGGACCCAGCAATTCTGTGGTTAGGAGTTTGTAAGAAGAAAGCAATCCAGATGAGAATACAGGGAAAGAACAGCAGCTTGTCACTGCTTTGTTTAATTGCAAGAAGTTGGAAATAACCTAAATATCACCAAATAATGGATTTTAAAAATTGTGTCATAACTCACACGCACATGTATGTTCACTGCAGCACTGCTTACAGTAACAAAGACAAGAAGCAACCCAAATGCCCGTCGATGATAGACTGGACAAGGAAACTGTGGCACATACACACCATGGAACACTATGCAGCCATAAAAAAGGATGAGTTCATGTCCTTTGCAGGGACATGGATGAACCTGGAAACCGTCATTCTCAGCAAACTCACACAAGAACAGAAAACCAAACCGCGCATGTTCTCACTCATAGGCGGGTGTTGAACAATGAGAACACATGGGCACAGGGAGGGGAGCATCACACACTGGGGTCTGTTGGGGGTGGGGGACTAGGGGAGGGACAGTGGAGGGTGGGGAGGTTGGGGAGGGATAACTTTGGGAGAAATGGCTGATGTAGGTGACAGGGGGATGGAGGCAGCAAACCCTGTGACTGTGAAGACAGGTTTCAAACCCATCCTGAGAGACGAGAGTCCCACTGCGCTCAGCCCGCCTTCCCGACAGTGCCCTTCTCCGTCCACCTGTCCTCCCCAAGGTCTCTGCGGACTTCCTGTGGCCACTCTGTGACGATGCCAACACAGAAACAAAAACCCACCCCCACAGGTGGCACGGACCAGGAGGTGGTGGCTTCCAGCGGGAAAGAAAGTCCCATGGTGGCTCCAAAAGCAGAGGAGCAGGGGCACCCTGCGGGCACAGGTCCAGCTGCCCAGGATACCCCACTTGCCAGTTTCCCTTGGGTCAGTTCCCCGTGAGTCGGGACCTGCGGGGTCTCGTGCGGCCGGGTTTCTGCCCTGTCCGTCCAAGACATGACATGAAGCTGACGCCTCATCAGGGTCTCCTTCTCTCTCTCACCACAGTGCACCCACTCTGGACGGGCCCGGTCTCCGTGCCGGGGGGCACCCGGCAGTCCCCCATCAACATCCGGTGGAGGGACAGCGTCTATGACCCGAGGCTGAAACCACTCAAGGTCTCCTATGACGCGGCATCCTGCCTGTACGTCTGGAACTCCGGCTACCTCTTCCAGGTGGAATTTGACGATAGCACCGAGGCGTCAGGTGAGTGCGAGTCGGGGCTCGGGGCTCCAGGACTTTCTCCTCTCCCGGTGTTCTGGGAGCAGGGTCAGGAGCTTCTCAGAGAATGGGGAAGAGAGCAGGGAATGTCGCCGTCTTTGTGCTGCTTGGGGCAGGAACAGAGTGGCTTAGGGGAGGACACAGCAGGGGGACACAGCAGGGGGATGAGAACGCTGGCACCTGCTCGCACACAGGTGCGTCTAAAGGAAAAACCCTTTCCCGCAGGGCCCGCACCACAGCCAGCGGGAGAAAGAGACGAGCTAATAGAAACCCGAAGGTCTTGCATGTCGGAAGGCAGTGGTGGCTGAGACGTCCGCTCTGGCCTTGATAATCTAGGCAGAGACCTGGAAGCAAATTGGGCCCACAGCAGGGCAGGGGCGTCGGGAGCCTGTAAATCACTGCTGGTTTGACCTGGCTGACTTTGGTTTTATTTTTTTTTTATTTATTGAGGCAGAGTCTTGCTCTGTCACCCAGGCTGGAGTACAGTGGTGCCATCTTGGCTCACCGCAACCTCTGTCTCCCAGGTTCAAGTGATTCTTCTGCCTCAGCCTCCCAAGTAGCTGGGACTACAGGAGCGTGCGACCATGTCCAGCTAATTTTGTATTTTCAGTAGAGACGGGGTTTCACCATGTTGGCCATGATGGTCGTGATGTCTTGACCTCGTGATCCGCCCGCCTCGGCCTCCCAAAGTGCTGGGATTGCAGGCGTGAGCCACACTGCAGACCCTGGCTGACCTTTTAAATGGACCCTGCAGCTGCTATGAGGACAGACTGGGAGGCACCTGGGGGGAGCAGAGTTACACAGGACGCTGTTCGGGGACATGCGGGTGGGAGGCGGTGGTGGAGGGACGGGGTGGGCTAGGAGGTCCCGGAAGCCACCAAGTTCCTGCTGGGTCCCCGCGCTCAGCCAAGGACTTCTGCGGATCATCCCCTCGAATCTGTGCCACGATCCTCCGAAGTTCCAGGTGGATGCTCTGAGGTGTGGGAGGTTCTCTCCAGGCCTCCGATGATTGCATTTTTATCGGGACTAGCTGCTATGTCCTACGTAGTGTTTTCCCAGCACAGCTGGTGTCACTGTAAGCCTCGTTCATGCTGAACACCTGCTCCCTTTCCTGCTCCAGGTCTGGAGTTACAGCACGTGCTGGGTATCAGGTGCCTCTCTGACCAGCCCCCAATAAACCCCTGGGCACTGAGTCGCTCGCTAGTGAGCTGCCGTGGCACAGAACACGCCTCCGCCACACGTGTTGTCACTGCTGGTGTCGGGGAGAATTAAGCCTGTCCTATGTGTCTCCCCTGCTGAGGACTCCAGAAGCTTCTGCCTGGGGTCCTCCAGACAGTTCAGGCACCTCTTCCCATGGCTGATCTCACTCTGCATCCTTTTGCTGAATACAGCTCCGCCCCGAGTGTGGCTCTGTCTGTGCTGCGGCTCCGCCCCGAGTGTTGTGGCTCGGTGCTGTGGCTCCGCCCCGAGTGTGGCTCTGTCTGTGCTGCGGCTCCGCCCCGAGTGTTGTGGCTCAGTGCTGTGGCTCCGCCCCGAGTGTGGCTCTGTCTGTGCTGCCACTGACTCTTCCCGCGGAATCATCAAGCCTGGGGCCCCAGCACAGCCCCCGCTCCAGTCCCACGTCTTCTTCGGCTGCCCCCATTTGCCTCCTCCCTGGTGGGTCCCAGGCGCCAGGGGATCTTGTTCACTCCCTGTTTCTCCCACGAGGATGTCACTCCACTGGGCAGGTCTTTGTCTGGTCTGATATTTTATGCCAGGCATCCTAAGCTCTCAGTAAATTGACGGATGAACAGAGTTAAAGGCATAAATGAGCCTCCCTTTCTTCCTCTGTGATTGGGCATAGGAGGGGCAGCCACTGCAAAGGCTTCGGGGAGAGAAGCAAGGCCACCCCAGGCCAGCGCTCAGCGCCCTATCTCCACAGAAACTCCACGTGGCTGCCAGCACGCCCCGCCCTGCTTCCACGCTTCTGCCTCCTCCAGGCAAGACGGCCAACAACGTAATGGTGCCCCATGCTCACCTTCATGCCCACTCCGCCATCCACCTTCCTGACATCAAGTGCCCTCGCCTGGGCCTTCCCCAGCTCCTGCTGTCACGGGAGGTCCACCCAACCGTGTCCTGGCTTCATCATGACATGGTGCTTGCATTTCAGCCTCTTAAGTCTGCATATGCCTGGAAATTCTCACCACAGGGACCTCAGTGAGCAGGTACACTGCCCGCAGATGTGCGCCCTGAGACGTGTGTGCAGGCCTTCCTGGAGCCCGGGGAGAAGGGCCCCATGGGCAGCGGAGGCCAGCCTGAGCCTGCTCCTGCCTCTAAGGCACCAGGTGGCGGGGGCAGGGCGTGAGTGTCTTCTCTGCGCCAGGCCCTACGCAGCACAGCGCAAACACCCCGGCTCCAGCTCCGTCCTTCCTTCTGGGTCCCTCTGTCCTCTCAAAGGTGAGAAGGAGCCACGTTGCCCGTGTGCTCAGTGCCATTCACAGCTGCTTCGTCCCGCTCCACCGCAACCCCACGGAAGCTTCCCGTGTGGGGCTCGCTGGGTGCCAGCAGCTGTCACCCCAACTCCAGCCAATGTAAGCAAAGTGGAACTTAATGGAAGAACACGACCAGCTCAGAGAAGAGAAGGGAAAGGTGGACAACCAGATCCACGGAGGCACAGACCAGGCCGGCTTCGGAGACCAGCGGGTGGGATTTCCACGTTCATTTATTTATTTCCTTACCAATGGGTTTTCTTCCCTTGCTGGTCCGTTCCAAGTTCCAATTCCCAGGAAGTAACTAAGACTGACTTCTCAGGTTTGATGTATAGCATCGAAACACGCTTCATGCAGCCACTTCAAAATATTGAACAAAGAATGACAGTTCCTGAACTTTCAGCTGTTTGGATTAGCGGTTGTGTGAATATACTCATCATTCTGAGAACAGCAGTTGTCAGGGATACCTATGAGCGCTGTGGGATTTGTACTCCTGCTGTATAATTTTTATCTGTGGTGTGGGTCTCACTGGTGTTTTCATAACAGATTTGTTTTCCTCCAAGTCGTAAAGTATAAAAACTTTGAAGATTATTTTGGACTTTTGTTTGTTATTTTACAAAATAAATTCCCAAGACAAAGGGTTTGGTGGCTGAGCCTGGGCCAACACCCAGCCCTCGGTGTGGTGGGGCATCAGACACCCGGCTAATGTGGTCACCAAGACCTCACGCAGTGAGGAGCAGGGGACCCAGGGGAATCCTGATACTGCTCCTAGAAGGAGGAAGGTATGTGGACGGACCCCCTTTAAAAGCACTGCCAGGCTGGACAGTGACTCACGCCTGTAATCCCAGCACTTTGGGAGGCCGAAGCGGGTCCATCACCTGAGGTCAGGAGTTCAAGACCAGCCTGGCTAACATGGTGAAACCCTGTCTCCACTAAAAATACAAAAACTAGCCGGGCATAGTGGCACACACCTGTGGTCCCAGTTACTCAGGAGGCTGAGGCGGAAGAATCACTTTAACCTGGGAGGCAGAGGTTGCAATGGGCTGAGATCGCACAGCTGCACTCTGGCCTGGGTGACAGAGCAAGACTGCGTCTCAAAAAAAAAAAAATGGCCACTGATGAATAGCAGCATAGCACAAGCCAGGAGCCACCGGAGAGAGTGTTGCAGGATGCTTATTTTCAGTAAGAAGAAATGGAGGCTGAGAGAAGGGGCGACTGCCAAGGGTGAGTGACCCACTGCAGGAGCCGGCTTCCGTTCCGACAACTGCGGACTCTAAGCCATCACCAGCTCACTTCTCGCCAAGGGCTTCACTTGCACAACTACAGTCTTCCTTCAACAGTTGTGGGAGGCACAAACCAGGCCCATTTTACAGATGTGAAAATGAGGCTTGAGAAACTCCTTGGCCAGAGGCCATAGAGGCCTCCCAATGGGACTCCTTGCTCTGCAGAGGAAAATCTGGGGAGTGGGCATCCTTTATAGAAAGAATCTGTACCAAACATCCACAGAAATCCAGCAGGAGCCCACAGGAGCTGACCTCTACACAGAGGGAGCACCAGCACCCAGGGCGAGCGAGGCCAAGCTCACTGGACCCCAGGAGAGCCGGCAGCCGCCCCAAGGCCCCGATGGGCCTCTGGCTCAAGCCCAGCAGAGGTTGTGTCCAGTGGGCCTTGAGGTCTGCACGGGAGGCCCGCCCCTCACCCCCCAGGGCAAGAACAAGAACAAGCCCTCGCCTCGGCCCTGTTGGCAGTGGAGCAGGGACATCCCGTGCTTTGCGGGCACACTTGCGATTTTTTGTTTAGCTAGTGGCAGTATGTGTGCCTTGGAATCTAGATGCTTCTGTATCCCCAAGGGAACTCAGGCTCAGGTTTTGGGCTGGAAAACAAGACCCCTGCAGATGGTAATTACCACCCAGGATCACAGGTCAAAGCCTGCTTTTGATCCGGTATCTCAAGCTGTGTGCCTGCCTGTGCGGCACCCCCTGCTCCAGGAACAGCCGTGCAATTTCTCTTGGGACCACCCCTTCCCCGCCGCACCTGGTCCTGCTGAGGATATTGTTCACAGCAGTGGATAAAAGGCTAATTTTAGTGGGGGGCTGACAGTTCTCACACATCGGAGGGCATCGACATCCCCTGGAGAGTGTGTTAGAGCACAGACTCCTGTCACCCCGGCGGCTCACACCTGTAACCCTAGCACTGTGATAAGCCAAGGCGGAAGGGTAACAAGACCTCATCTCTACAAAAAAGTAAAAACATTAGCTGCACGTGGTGGTGCACGCCTGTGGTCCCAGCTACTCGGGAGGCTGAGGCAGGAGGCTTGCTTTAAGCCCAGCAGGTTGAGGCTGCAGTGAGCTGTGATTGCACCACTGCACTCCAGCCTGGGCAACACAGCGAGAGCCTGTCTCTAAAACAAAACCTGTGCTTCCTCCAGACCTTCTAATTTGGCAGGTGCAAGGCTGAACCTAGAATCTCATGCCAGCGGACTCCCAGGTGCCGCTGACCCCGACAGTCCGTGGCTTTGCCCGGGCATCTGCGGGCTCCACCTCCGTCCTCCCGCCTCGTGGATCCAGCGACCGTTTTCCTTGGGAGCCCATCCTCCGACTCCCATTCCTGCGGTCCAGAGGCAGGCGTGGGTGGGGAGCTGGGCGTGGCCACGCGGAACAGCCCCGTCACTGGCTGCAGCGATTGGGCCAGGCATGGGCACGTGACTCAAGACCAACCAATGAGAGCCAAGGAGTTTTTCCCAGGGCGCATTTAAAGAGATTGTTTCTACGGCTGGGCAAAGGTCAGCTGTGCCAGGCAGCAGGTGAGGACCCACCTGAGAAAGTGTCCACACGGGAGGGCAATGCCCAGAGGGCGAGAAATCAAGGATCAAGCCAATGTCAGGGGCCCTGAATGTAGCTGTACCTGAAGCCAAGCCGACCCCTGTACTAACAAGCCTCTTTTTAAAATCAGTCTAAGTTTCGATCACCTGCTTCCAAGAATCCTGATACAAAAGCGGCCGGGCCGTGGCTCATGCCTGTCATCCCAACCCTTTGGGAGGCCGAGGTGGGTGGGCTGTCTGAGGTTAGGAGTTTGAGACCAGCCTGGCCAACATGGTGAAAGCCCATCTCTACTAAAAAGACAAAAATTAGCTGGGCATGGTGGTGCGCGCCTGTAGTCCCAGCTACTCGGGAGGCTGAGGCAGGAGAATCGCTCGGACCCAGGAGGCGGAGGTTGAAGTGAGCTGAGATCACACCTCTGCACACCAGCCTGGGTGACAAAGTGAGAGTTAGTCTCAAAAATATATTAAAAATAAAATAAAAGTGACTAAGTTGGCCAGGCGCAGTAGCTCACGCCTGTAATCCCAACGACTTTGGGAGGCTGAGGTGGGTGGATCACCTGAGGTCAGGAGTTCGAGACCAGCCTGTCCAACATGGTGAAACCCCCCTCTCTACTAAAAATACAGAAATTAGCAGGGCGTGGTGATGCACGCCTGTAGTGCCAGCTACTGAGGAGGCTGAGGCAGGAGAATCGCTCGAACCCAGGAGGCGGAGGTTGAAGTGAGCTGTGATTGCACCACTGCCCTCCAGCCTGGGCAACAGAGCGAGACATCGTCTCAGAAAACAAAACAAAACAGTGGCAAAACTGAGAGTGAGGAAATGGAAGGGAGGGAGCAGGAGGATCGCCAGTTTTAGTCCTTTTACTCTGTGCTCAAACCTAACTCGGCTGCAGGTGGGGTCTGTGCAGATCCGGGTGAGGGGCAAGTTGGCTATGACCTGTTTAACGTGATCCATGCAGACTGTGGCTCAGAGCTCCATGCTCTGTGACTCAGTTGTCCTCAGGGAAGCTGGACCTGGTGCAGCTTTCGGAAGTGGTCCCAGCCCTCCTGAGTCCATGGATGGGGAGTGCCGGTACAGGCCTAGCAGCTGGCTTTCTGGGGCTGGATGGAGGGTCAAGAGTTGTGATGCGTGCTGTTCTCCACTTTCCACGGTGTAAATACTCCCGCACGGCCGAGTTCACGATTTCAAGTTGAGGTCACTGATGGTGGAGTTGGGAAGAGATTTGTACCATTGGCTCCAGAGCTGGTGTGAGCCGCCGGCCACTGCCCCCTGCCCTCCTCCCTGTTGTCCCTGCAGCCTGGGATTTCACTGCTGCTCTCCAAGTGAGGGATTCTCTGGCTCCTTTAAGACTTCTGTGTGGCTGTACCTGGCAGAACCCCACCTCACACTGGCTTGAGCAAAGCAGAGGGTCATTTGTTGGCTCTGATCCTAAAGAGTCCGGGCTATAGCCGGGTGCAGGGGTCGGACAACACTGCCAGGGGCCTGAGTGCTCCCCCACACTCTGCTTTCCCCAGGGGCCACTCATGGGAGTTTCCTGATGGGGTGAAGGCGGCCACCCGAGGCTGTGGCTCGGCCTCCAGAGGAGCAGCGTCGCCTCTTTCCTGGCAGTTCCAGCCACTGTCCCAGGGCTGATTCTCACGGGCCGGGCTTTGGCCGCTTTTCTGGCCAGCCTGAGGGTGACCCCGCCTGGAACAAGGTGTGCTCGGGGAGCGGTGGGCAGTATCCCACAGGGAAGCCCAGGATGCTGCTCCCACAGTGAGGACGGGGCGCTCTTCTCACTGGGTGTGCACCCTGGCCGCGGACCCCGAGCTGACCTCGGCCCCTCCCTGACTCTCAGGTCCAAGGCTGCTGCAGCTGTCTGTCTCCCGGTGTCAGCCTCTGACCTTGTCCCAGCCCCACTTTTGGCTTCCCCCCAGGCTTCGAGTCTGCTCAAAGGATCACGCCCCTCCCTGCCACAGACCAAAAGGATTCCATGTCTCTCCTGGGCCGTGGAAACGAGCTGGATCGTTCCTCCTGTGGCTGCCTCGTTCCTCCTGTGGCTGCCGTCCACACCGGCCAATCTGGTTCCACTTTGTCATTTTCTCGGAATCCCAGCTTCCTCTTTCTTTTTCTCCTACTCAACCTCACGTGCTCCCCGTTCCCTCCCATCTCTGCAGCCTGTTTTTCCAGGTTCTGGGTCCTCTCCTTCGCAAATTTTCTGTCCCCTTTGTTCACCAGCTTTGGGAATCAGGAGCCTGGGGGCGGGGGGCAGAGGGAATGGGACCTGCAGATGAAGGATGGGTAGGGCTAGAGGAGGGTTTTCAGAGGGAAACGGAGAGGAATGAGACAAAGAGACAGCAAAGCCCTGGATGGAAGGAGGGCAGTGCCGTGAGAGGAAGGGAAGGGAGCAGAGGAGGCTCGAGGTGCGGAGAACAGCACAGACAGGCTCCTGAGGCTCGGGCCACACCAGGTCAGCACCAGAAGCAAAGGGAAACAAACGGAGAGGCCAAGGAAATTTCCGTCCACGCAGATGCTGCCAGCGGTTTTCCTAGAAGCCAAGGGTGCCAGCACTCACCAGCCAGGGACAGTGAGTAACAGAGGGGGCGGCAGGGGCTCTTTCCAGGGAATGTCCATGGCCTTGAAGGCCAAGAGGGACAGGGTGCAGGGAGGAGTAAAGCCAGGGGAGGAGGGAAGGAGGAGAGGAGAGGTGCAAGTCACAAAGGAAAACGGCAGCCGGATCCAAGAACTGCCACACGGCGCCCGTCCCACCTCGAGGGCCCCCTCGGAGCCACGCCGAACCCATCCCACCTCGAGGGCCACCGCAGACGGCTCAGCTCATTCCCTAAAGGTGCGGGGGAGGGGGGCCAGCTCACTGGGCAGGGCCATGTGAAGAGGTTGCCACTGTGCTGGGAGAATTGAGCATTCAGTAGACAATAGCTTCCTTCAACATAAAATATAAACGAGGCCCAAGAGCCAGAGTCCAACGGTGCCTTCACCATCATGGAATCGGCTCCCTGTGCAGCACAGGTATACAGCAGGAGCTCAATGAATGCTTTGCTCCTGGAGGGAAGGAATGATCTGAAAGCTTGTGGACCTCACTTCTGTCACTTGGAGAAACAAACTCCAGCAACATAAGTCAAAGGAGAGGTGACCGGGAGGGAACCACAGCGGCAAGAACCCTTAGTCCTGGGTTGGGGGCTGCCTGCTGGGGCTGTCCCCATAAAGGGAGGAGGCTCGAGGGACCTCTTGGCTCCCCTAGTGGGGCATGAATTGGCAGCTGCAAGATGAGAGACAGGGGAAGAGCAAATTCCTTGGAGGGGAATTCTGGCCCTGCCAGGGCGGAAACTGGCTGTGTGGTCCAAGGATGACCCCCGGCCTGAGATGAAAGGACATGACCATCACGCTTATATCCTGGGAAAGTTGTCACTGCAAATTCATGAACTGGCAGTCCGGTTCCTAAACCTGCATGTGTGTCCCTGTGTGTGTTCGTGTGTGTACATGTATGTGTTCATGTGTTTGTGTGTGCACATGCATGTACGTGTGTGCATTGTTCATGTGCATGTGTGCATGTGTGTGCACATGTGTGTGGTGGTGTGTGCACGTGTGTGTTCATGTGCATTCGTGTGTGTGCTCGTGTGCTCGTGTACATGTGTGTTCGTGTGTTTACGTGTGTGCGTGTGTGCATGTTCGTGTATGTATGGATGTATGTGTGTTCACGGGTGTATGTGTGTCGTGATCGTGTGTGTATGTGTGTTCATGTGTGTGTGTGCATGCATGTGTCATGACTTGTGTTCATGTGTGCGCATGTGTTCATGTGTGCATATGTGCGTGTGTGCACATGTGCGTGTGTGTGTGCGTGCCTGTGTCGTGTGTCGTGTGCTCATGTGTGTACACTTATTCATGTGTACACATGTGCGTGCCTGTATGCAGGTGTGTGCATACATGTGTGTGTTCCTGTGTGCATGCATGAGCACGTGTGTCATGTCCCGTGTGTGCATGTGTCTGTGTGCACATGTGTCATGTGAGTTTGTGTGTGTGCACGTGTATACGTGTGTGCGTCTGTTCGTCTACGTTTGTTCTTGTGTGTACGTGTGTGCATGTGCACATATGTGCAGGTGTGCATGTGTGAACGTGTGTGCACGTGTGTCGTGTGCGTGAGTGTTCATGTGTGTCATGTGTGCACACGTGTGTTTCCATCTCCTTTCCATATGTAGCTCCTGTTCTTTCCCTCGGGCCTGGGTGTGGATATTTTGGGGGGAGTTTGGTAGACGTCAGTGTCCCCTGTGTCTCTACAGATGTTTTCTCCGCTTTTCTGGTCTTCGAGACTGAAACATGAAAATGTATGAAACAGCTTCCAACGTTTACCAGCTAGAGATTCGGCCGCTGGGGAGCAACTGCTCCTGTTCTTGCTCGATTCCAATTCCAAATTCCCAGGGCAGTGACTCTGATTGGCCCAGCCCTGCACGCATTAGGAGCGGGGCTGAGGAAGGGGCTCTGATTGGCCCAGCATGGTTTCAGTGCCCATTCCTATCCAATCAACCATGGCCAGAAGTGGGATCACATTGGACAAAATGTCAGGGGGTAGAGCAAGTGTTGTCATCATTCGGATCCAAAAGACCATTTCTTTTCTTTTCTTTTGAGACAGAGTCGCACTCTGTTGCCCAGGCTGCAGTGCAATGGTGCCATCTTGGCTCACTGCCACTTCTGCTTCCTGCGTTCAAGCCGTTCCCGCCTCAGCCTCCCAAGTAGCTGGGACTACAGGCACGCGCCACCACGCCCAGCTAATGTTTGTACTTTTAGTACAGATAGGGTTTCACCATGTTGGCCAAAATGGTCTTCATCTCTTGACCTCATGATTCACCTGACTCAGCCTCCCAAAGTGCTGGGATTACAGGTGTGAGCCACCTCGCCCAGCCCCAAAAGACCATTTCTAACCACCCGACTTCATGCACAGCGACCCCTGTGTGCTGCGTGGTCTTTTGCAGGAACAAAGGATTGATGGAGAAGGGAAACCCTTGCTCCCATGGAGCTTGTGCTCTGGTGGGATAAGATCACAAGTAAACATTAATTAATAGATACTTCTCTCCACAAGTTTGTGGAACAGTAAACAAATCCGCATCTAAGAAGACGGTTTGGGACAGTGATAAGTGGTCTGGTGAAAATGAAAGCAGACGTTGGACCGTAGCTGACTCCGCCGAGGGAGATTGTGAGCGTTACGCGGCACGGTCAGAAAAGACCTGGACCCGAGCCCTAACTGGTAAGAAAGTGCCAGACCCGTGACGGCAGGGAGAAGCGTTCCAGCATCACTGTTTTAAAACATGAGCATCCTAAACATTACACGAGCCGTACTTATGCTAAGTATTTGGGATCTACACCAAAAATGTGTTGCTCTCTTTGCAATTCAAACTTAACTGGGAGTCCTGTGTTTTCTCTGAGAACTCTTCTCTAATTGTGAAGCTGCAAGTTCAAGGGCCTGGGCAGGAACATGCCTGGCAGTTTCAGGGAGCAGGCAGAGCTGCTGAACGTCGGGGAGTGTGGAGGGAGTGGAGATGGGACCGTGCCTCTGGGAACGTGGAGAGGGCTTATTCCAGCAGGGCAGGCTTTGTGGTCGTATTCACAGGCCAGGGACGTCTCTTTTTTTTTTTTTTTTTTTTTTTTGAGATGAGGCCTCGCTCAGTTGCCCAGGCTGGAACTCAGTGGTACAATCTCGGCTCACTGCACCCTCCACTCCCCGGGTTCAAACGATTCTCCTGCCTCAGCCTCCCAAGTAGCTGGGATTTCAGGCATCCACCACCACACCCAGCTAATTTTTGTATTTTTAGTAGAGACTGGGTTTTGCCATGTGTGCCATGCTAGTCTCTAACTCCGGACCTCAGGTGATCAATCCACCTGCCTCTGCCTCCCAAAGTGCTGGGATTACAGGCATGAGCCACTGCGCCCAGCCCAGGGATGTAATTTAACAAGTAACCGATACGGTTTGGCTGTGTCCCCAGCATATCCCATTTTGAATTGTAGCTCCCATAATTCCCACGTTTTCTGGGAGGGACCCAGTGGGAGGTAATTGAATCATGGGGGTGGTTTCCCCCATACTGTTGTCATGGTAGTAAGTCTCACGAGAGCTTGTTTGTTTTTTGAGACGGAGTCTCGCTCTGTCACCCAGGCTGCAGTGTGGTGGTGTGATCTCAGCTCACTGTAACCTCCACCTCCCAGGTTCCAGCAATTCTTCTGCCTCAGCCTCCTGAGTAGCTGGGATTACAGGTGTGCACCACCATGCCCAGCTAATTTTTCTATTTTTAGTAGAGACGGGGTTTCAACATGTTGACCAGGCTGGTCTCAAATGCCCAACCTCAAGCTGTACCACCCACCATGTCCTCACGAAGTGCTGGGATTACAGGTGTGAGCCGCCATGGCAGGCCAATCTGATGGTTTTATAAGGGGAAGCCCCTTTTGCTTAGTTCTCCCTCTGTCTGCTGCCATGCAACTCATGCCTTTCGCCTTCTGCCATGATTGTGAGGCCTCCCCAGCCACGTGGAACTGTGAGTCTATTAAACCTCTTTTTCTTTGTAAATTATCCAGTCTCAGGTATGGCTTTATCAGCAGCATGAAAACAGACTAATACACTGTTGTTACTTATCAAATGTTATCGGCTTATTTTGAAAAAAAAAAACCTTACCAAATAGATGTGGTTACAGGAAGGGACCCAAAAGTTACACTGCAGGTGGAAAAATCAATAACTGTTTACCAGGCGGTGATGGCATAACAGTAGGGTATTTTTTTTCCCCCCTGTGGTTTTTTTTTTCTTTGAGACGGAGTTTCGTTCTTGTTACCCAGGCTGGAGTGCAATGGCGCGATCTCGGCTCACTGCAACCTCCGCCTCCTGGGTTCAGGCAATTCTTCTGCCTCAGCCTCCTGAGTAGCTGGGATTACAGGCACGCGCCACCGTGCCCAGCTAATTTTTTGTATTTTTAGTAGAGACGGGGTTTCACCATGTTGACCAGGATGGTCTCGATCTGTTAACCTCGTGATCCACCCGCCTCGGCCTCCCAAAGTGCTGGGATTACAGGCTTGAGCCACCGCGCCCGGCCTTTTTTTCTGTTTTTTGAGACAGAATCTCACTCTGTCGCCCAGGCTGCGGTGCAGTGGTACAATCACAGCTCACTGCAGCCTCAACCTCCCAGGCTGATCCTCCCACCTCAGCCTCCCAAGTAGCTGAGGATACGGGCTCACACCACCACGCCCTGCCTCGCTTTTCCTTTGTAAAAGTCATTCTACAATGCTGTGGGTACATCGGTTTTTCAATATGAAGTTTTGTTTGGAAGTTCACAAATCTGCTATGGGCCTTGGAGGAAAGCAGGAAGTGACGGAAGTTTCGTGACTGCGAGTGAGTTTGGTGGAGCTTCGAGTTGTGGGTGGTTTTACAGGCAGCGCTGCCGACACAATGCCCTGAACACAGGTGCTGGGCGACAGAGTGAGCAGAGGCATGTGAGAGTGGAAGGGCTCTGCAGCGCGGGTCGAGGTTTCATTTAGCTCATTCAGCGGCTGGAGGGGCCATTGCGTGGATGAAGAGGGCCACGTCTGTGAAGTGCTCAGGATGGAGCGGGTAGTGGTGTGGCCACACCAGCCACGCCGCTCACACCCCTTACCCATTACCTCTGTGCTCCGGGTTTTTCTTGGCTCCTCTGTGGATTCTCTCTCATTCTGAAGACAGGAGAAGCCAAGGTTTCATCTCAGCTGTTCCTGGCTCACTGCTGTGCTTCTCTGCACCCGTCCCCTCCTGATGAGGGGAATGAGAATCTTGCCTAGGGTAACACTCTGTGGACGGTGGCCATGGCCCCATGCCAGCCCCTCGCTGAATCCTGACCACCAGTGGACTGAGCGGTCCTCCAGCCCCGCGCCCTCCCTCCCACTCTTCCCTGGCTCTCTTGTGTTGCTCTGTGCCGGTAGCTGAGCCCCAGTGCCGCTCCCGCCACCACCGCCACTGCGCCTTCCCTCCCTCCTGGCTTCCCCATGGCATTGCTCCCTGGCAGGGCCAGTGAGTGGCCCTAGCTGTGTTCAGAAGGCTCTGTGCCTCCTCCTCCCACCCAGTTGCTCAGCCTTGGAGACAGACGGGGGTGCAGCAGGGCTGAACGGCATTCCAAGCTCATGGGCTGGGGAGGTCTGCACCTGCACCCCCCATGTGGCACTTGGGTTAATTTGCCATTGTCCAACCCCTCAGTGCCCTGGGCAGTTGCCTAACAAAATGCTTCATTTAATAGGAGTCACTGTGGACACAGAAGATGGACGGTGATGTGCTCAGGACCAGCTGGAAACCCCATCAGGCGGTGATGCCCGCTGTAATCACCCATGACTTCCTCTTGCCATCACTCAGAGTGTCTGCAAAGCCATAGGCAACAGCATACTCCTGCTCCATACGACAGGCTCCTGCTGGCCGGGCACGGGAGCTCACGCCTGTAATCCCAGCACTTTGGGAAGCCAAGGCAGGCAGATCATGAGGTCAAGAGATCGAGACCAGCCTGACCAACATGGTGAAACCCCATCTGTACTAAAAATACAAAAATTAGCCAGGCATAGTGGCACTTGCCTATAGTCCCAGCTACTCGGGAGGCTGAGGCAGGAGAATTGCTTGAACCCAGGAGGCAGAGATTGCAGTGAGTTGAGATCACACCACTGCACTCCAGCCTGGGTGACAGAGAGAGACTCCATCTCAAAAAAATAAATAAATAAATAAATAAAACGAAAGGAAGAAAAGAAAATGGCCCAAGGTCAGTGGAAGTTTTGGCTGGACATGATGGCTCACACCTGTAATCCCAGTACTTTGGGAGGCCGAGGCAGGCCAGCATCATGAAACTCCATCTCCACTAAAAGTACAAAAATTAGCCAGGCGTGGTGGCACATGCCTGTAATTCCAGCTACTAGGGAGGCTGAGGCAGATGAATCACTTGAACCAGGGAGGCGGAGGTTGCAGTGAGCTAAGAACACACCCCTGCGCTCCAGCCTGGGCAATGGAACAAGAGTCCATCTCAAAAGAAAAAAAAAAGAAGACGCTGCTATTGTAAATCTGTGACATGGCTGTGGTTTGCTCCCAGCGAATGTTGAGCAGAGATGCTGACTGCAGGTGACGGCTAGGTCACAAAGCCTTCCCAGACGAGCCCTGGCTCACACGCAGATCCAGCTGGGAAGTCCGGGGAAAAATCACCCAGGAGATAAACAAAGCCAAGCACAGTGGATGAAGGCGCTGCCACCCTCCCCACGTCTCTCGAAGTGGACGTCACTTATGCCTGTTGTGGCGGATGTCACTTACACTTGCTTGTAGTGAATGTCACTTGCACTTCCTCCTGCCCTCGCAGATGACCCTCCCCCCGTGGGCCACCACTCACAGCCGCATCAAGTCTACAAGGCTGGTGTGCAGGACAGGCCAGCTACGCTTCCCAGGAGCAGGCAAGGCCGGGGAGCGGGTCAGTCACTGGGAGGCGAGGTGCTCGGGCAAGGTAGGATGGAGGAGGAGGGACGGGAGCTGAGTGTGGGCTCTTCGTACAGAGAGGCGTGGGCGGGCCATGGCTCGGAGACTCAGATGGCAAAAGGCAAGAAGAAGCAGAGTCGCCGAAGGAGCTACGGTGGAGGCCCGTGGAAGAGGAGCGTTGAGGCTTTTCTGTCTGAAATGCTGAACACACTCCTTAGCACATTCAAGACAGGCCCACGCGAGCTGTATGATTCTTCTGGGCTTTTAACAGTGGTCTTGTCAAAGAAAAAACAAATTAGCCGGGCATGGTGGTCCCAGCTACTCAGGAGGCAGAGGTGGGAGGACGGCTGGAGCCCACCAGGTTGAGCCAGCAGCCAGCTATGATCGCACCACTGCACTCCAGCCTGGGTGACAGAAGGAGACCCTGTCCCAAAAAAAAAAAAAAAGGACTGGCACATTCAAAACCTGCTGATGGGGTGGGTGCAGCGGCTCACGCCTGTAATCCCAGCACTTTGGGAGACCGAGGCGGGTCGATCACCTGAGGTCAGGAGTTTGAGACCATCCTGGCCAACATGGCGAGACCCTGTGTCTACTAAATACACAAAAATTAGTCGGACGTGGTGGTGCGTTCCTGTAGTCCCAGCTATTTGGGAGGCAGGAGAATTACTTGAACCCAGGCGGTGGAGGTTGCAGTGAGCTGAGATTGCACCACTGCATCCATCCTGGGTGACAGAGCAAGAGTGTCTTAAAAACATAATAAAATAAAATAAAGGCCAGGCACGGGAGCTCACGTCTCTACTCCCAGCACTTTGGGAGGCCAAGGAGGGTGGATCACCTGAGATTAGAAGTTCAAGACTAGTCTGACCAACATGGAGAAACCCCGTCTCTACTAAAAATACAAAATTAGCCGGACATGGTGGCGCATCCCTGTAATCCCAGCTGCCTGGGAGGCTGAGGCAGGAGAATCGCTTGAACCGGGGAAGTGGAGGTTGTGGTGAGCCGAGGTCGTGCCATTGCACTCCAGCCTGGGCAATAAGAGCGAAACTCCATCTCAAAAAAACAAACAAACCCTGTTGACGAAGTTTCCTGCCTTCCCTTGGCCACCACTGGCGCCGACCCCGTTGCCCGTCCAACGCCGTCTCCTGCTGCCCCTGACAGCGCCGCTGCCGGCCACAGCTTCCGCCTCCTCTGTCGTGGCATCTGCTCTCACGGTGGTCCTTTCCACCCCCCGGTCATCCCCTTCTGCCTGGGGCCGTCGTTATTGTCACCTGACAGAAACTCATCTTCAGGGCTCTGCTGAGACACTTCCATGGGGGCCCTCCCGGGTGTCCCAGGCATGTTTAGGGCCCCAAAGCCCACACCCTCACCTCTCAGACACTCATAGCTTTTTTTTTTTTTTTTTTTTTTCGGTAGAGACGGGGTTTCACCATATTGGCTAGAATGGTCTCTATCTCTTGACCTCACGATCCGCCCTCCTCGGCCTCCCCAAGTGCTGGGATTACGGGTGTGAGCCACCGCGCCCGGCCCACTCATAGCTTCTTATCTCCGCCACCGTCCGCCTGTCCCTCCTGATTCCAAGGTCTGCAGGGGCAAGCCTGAGCCCACAGCCTGCTCCCTCCGTCCCCGGCACTGAGCGTGGTGCCCGGCCCACGGGGGAAACTCGGTCGGTGCTGTGAGTATTGTTGGATGAAGGAGGGACTTTTCTTCCTTTACGCTTGCATAGCCGGCTAAGCCCCTTGTCATGGACATTTTCTCAAGACATATTTATCGGCCGGGCGCGGTGGCTCATGCCTGTAATCCTAGCACTTTAGGAGGCTGAGGTGGGTGGATCAGCTGAGGTCAGGAGGCTGATGCAGGAGAATCGCATGAGCCCGGGAGACGGAGGTTGCAGTGAGCCGGGGTTGCACTACTGCACTCCAGCCAGGGCGGCAGAACGAGACTCCATCTCGAAAGAAAAAAAAGACATATTTATCTTCCGCTGTCTTTACTTGTAGGTCTTACCTTAAGGCTCATGGTGGCTATTTCAGGGGACCGTGGATCTCTGTCTTGTGAGATGATGGCGATGGTGGTGACGATAACAAGTTTATTTTATTTTATTTGTTCATAGAGAC